CCCCCAAAACCCCAAAACCCCAAAACCCCATAATTCTTCATAAAAGTTGAATCAAATCTATTCCTTATCTGCTTAATTACTCTTGGATCAGAATTCCTCTGGTGAGTAAATATAATCTCACCCATAGATGACATTTTTGTTGATCTTGTTTTGGAGCTCATGGACTCTTTGGTACTCGTAGTAGCTACCTCCTCCAGTAACATATGCCATGAGATTTGCACAGTTCTGGGATGCAAAGATTAGCTGGTTTGCTCTAGACCCATCCAATTCTCTGTTCATCAAAGTATCAATGTAGTAATCCTTTTCATATGCTTTTCCTTCTCCTCTATCATCATAATATTGGCCAATGAGATTGGCAATCATAGAATCTGAGTTTTGATTTTCAACAAGATTCCGAACATTACCAAGTAACCGTTTACCTTTATCCTTCAGGCTGAGGCCAAATCCGCTAAATATTGATTGTTCTTCCTCAATTTCCTTGCCTTCAGCATCATCAAGTCCGATGTCCTGATCCGGGTTCTGCTTCTTCCAGATTTTAAGAGCCATATCGAAGTTAGTCTCAGGACAAAGATCCCTCAACTTCTGGATTTTGGTCTTCACTTCAGATTTTTCTGGATTCCTAGTGATAATATAAATGCACAAAATTCTGAGTCTATCAAGTCCAGATTTAATGGAAGTATTTATGTTGAACAGCATTTCTTCCAGCTCTTTCTTCGCCTTCGATGACATATGACTCTTCGTGATCATCTCATCTTCGAGAGCATCGTATGAGTCGATATCTCTCTGTTTCACAGCATCGAAAAGAATAGTACAGATGCTGGAATGAGCCTCAATTTTGTTCTTCTCCTGCTTCATCTTGGGCAAAGAGTCAATGACGGAGTTAAGGTTAGAGAACATCTCTGAGACTTCCTTAGTCTTTGACTTGTTGTTCATCTCATCATACTTTACCTTCCATTGTTGGAGTTTCTTGTCAATGTTCTCTCCTAATTCTGGAATATCCTTGAGAGCATATTCTTTGAGGATAGGATCATTTAGGAAATCAAGGTCAAAAGTTTTGTCAGTTCCTTCCTCCTGGATCTGAATCTGATTTGAGTTAATTCCGATAATATCATGGACCAGTGGAAGGTAGCTCCAAGAATGCCTGTACATAATAGCCCAGTCAATATCTCTATTGAAGATGAGGAGGACACATCTCTTTTTCTGTCGTGGTTGCCTCTTGAACTCATATGGCTCATCTTTCTCAGCTTTTTCCTGAAAAAGAGCATTCAGCTCATAAGCAATAGTCTCAGAGATATCGCCCTTTCTGAACCTTATTACTGGGTAGAGATTTGTTCATTCGAAGACTCCAAAAATGCCATGGACGATATTTTCAACCTCAAGATCAATGGCTGCCTTTTCTTCAGATTTAAGGATGCCCTGAAGTTGGGACTTCTCTGGATAAATTGTGAAGCAATTTTGAGTATGGCAAAAGAACGAGAGATAATTATCTTGCACCTTCATTATTTTATCAGCAGCATCAAGCTTGGCGAGCTTTCAAGCAAGGTTCTCCAATACAGAACCTGGCACAGGCTTAGTGAAGTAGAAGAATATAAAATCGTACAGACTTCTTTCTGCATCTTGTATTATCAACTCAATATTTTCGTCAGTGGGCTCAACTAGATATATAACAGGTGTATCAAGTATAGTATCCCTTTTATTATTAATCTTGGAATGGAATGTAATATTACTGTTTCGAATATCTGTCATTTTTGTAATTGTTGATAGCATCTTCTGCACAGAATCATCTATTATCAATGCCTTAAAGTTAAATATTTGCTTGTCTACCTTCACACCATTAATATCTATCTCTTCATTCAGATTAAACCCCCCATAAGATTGGTGCAAGGATGAACTAAATTCCTCCTCGGACATACCTTGACTCAAGGATAGAATGTTGAGGATGAATTTCTTCTGATCCTCCATTAAATTTATTTCTTGATTTTCTGATGGCATGAAGTCAAAGGTTCTCTCCATTTTATTAATATTTTAAATTTAGGGATAAATTAAGGGGTTTTGGGGTTTTGGGGTTTTGGGGTTTTGGGG